CTGTGGGAGCGTGTTTGTGTGGCAAACTGGGGTAGATTGGAATAAAAGGCCGCAGCACCATTTGCCTAAAGCACTGTAGGATTGGAAGGGAGGGGATGTCACAGGCGGCCGCTGGGAAGACTGGTCTCAGTTTGGGATCTGGGATGTTCCTGTAGGATTGTTCAGAAAGACAGGATGCAGGAGCTCTAAGCCTGAAAAAAACTGGAATTCTAAGAAAAGCCAAGGTACATGAAACCTCAGGAGCTGTTGTGTGTGTCTGTTCTGACCTTTCTCTGAAGTGAAAGCGAATGTAAAGTGCTTTTCTTTTGTTTCCAGAATTACCCAGTTAAAAGAACCCTTCATAAACGGCTCAAAAAGATTGTCAAGTCAGCCTGGGGCCGTTCCCTGCTTTCATTTGTCACAAAAGCTGAAAGGATGGGACCCTACTGCTTAAATGGATTGGTATTCTTTTCTTTTAGGGCCGAGAGAGAGAGGAGCGTTGTGCCTCAGCTTGCCCCACATGTGCCTTATGGCGTTACCCCTGAGCTGGGGTAGCCCCAGCCAAACAGCCTGGGGATGCTGGCTGAAGGGCGGCTTCCGGAAAGCTCCCCGGAGTGTGGTTTTTGGGCGGTGAGGGTAGAGCTGGGGCCATAGGCTGGGTCTTCCCCAGGGCAGGGGGCTTCTCCGAGGAAGGTGAGGGGGTGGCCAGGGTCAGTTCATCGTTTTTGGGTTATCTGTGATACTTTTGCGGTGGTAAAATCACACGAATCTGCTAAACCGCCGTCGGAAGCACGATAGCCTAGATCGTTACGAGGGAAGGTCGCCAGACTGATGGGATTGTGGTCTGTTGTAGGTTACACTGCCCCAACGGCCCCCCCGGCGTACAGCCAGCCCGTCCAGGGCTACGGCACGCCCGCCTACGACACCAACACCGCAACGGTTACCACCACCCAGGCTTCCTACGCAGCACCGTCCCCGTACGGCCCCCAGCCCGCCTACCCGGCCTACGGGCAGCAGCCGGCACCGTCTGCTCCCGCAAGGTAACCGTGGTTCCTCTCTTCCTCCCCAGGCTCTGCTGCTGGGCAGAGCCCCGGCACACCACCAGTTTAAACTGGGACCCACTGGTTTTGCTTGTCTCCACCTCGAGCTTTGCTCTGGCTGCCTCACACCCGGTTGCGGGGCTGGGGGAGGCTGCGTAGGTAGGTGCTGCTGCAGCGCGGTGACTCAGCGCCGCGCCGGGAGATGAGAGCGACCGAGCAGCAGAAACGGGTCCGGACTCACGACGTGGAGCAGGCGACGGACCAGCCCGGCCCGCTCTGGAGTCACGGGGTCAGGCAGGGTCCCTCTGCATACGCTGCCCCCTAGGGAGGGTGCGTGTGCTCTGGTTTCCGTTTGAAATCTCTTGTGCCTGGCACTGTCAGCGGTATATTTAGTTAATTGTTTGCTCAGGATATGAGGGGTTTGGAATACGTAGTGGAAACTCGCTTGGGAGTGAGCAAAAACCGCTTCATCCGTATACCTGATGTTTGTAGCAACCGCTCCAGTAAGGGGAGGTGGAGCTTGGCACAGCGCTGTCCGACCCCTCCCATTACACTTTAGGTACCAATCCTGACATCATGCAAAACAGTTTGTTCCCAGCTTCTGCAGGAAAAGTAGCTTAACTCTTCGTACTCCGCCCTGGTAACCACCCGGAGGTCATGGGGCACGTACAAACAAAGGGACACGTGTGTCGCCTGCAAGGGGCTCCCTTTGGTTTCGGGCCTTGGGAGTTTTTACTGAGCACAGGGTCACAGGCTGGTTTGGGTCAGAAGGGACCGTTAAAGGTCTCATCCCACC